GTTAATCAAATTGCCTTATTAAAATTCAAAATTATTATTTTGAATTTTAATTTAATTATATTTTTTATTTAAAAAACTCGAAGTCGCGCGAAAACTGAAAAGCTTTCTGCCCGTTAAACTACCAATGTAGTTTAATCTTGGTTCAACTATCTCTTCGTATCCTTCTAATTTCAAAAATTAGAAAAAGATGAAGTGCAAATTGAACTTAAAATTAAATTTATCTACATTCGTAGAAATGGATATTAAACGAATTCACGTTAACGAATTTATAAATCAAAATATAATTGGCGCTCATTAAACTATAAATGATAAAATAATTATAATACATGTATAAATAATAGATCTAGTAATTCTGAATATATGTATATATTAACATATAATAATATTACGTATTATTGGCAAATGGAACAATTGACATTTATTTTTTTCACAGAATCGAACAAAAAGGTATATGATACTTATATTGAGTTCATTTAATAATATGATTTTGTATATTGTAATATATTTTCGCGAAATTAATAATTATTAATCAGAAAAATTCCAAATTTAGTCAGTTTAGCTAAATTTAGTCTATTTTAATTATTAGCGATAAAAACAGCATTAAAAAAAGGTAAAAATTTTATTTATAATAAATTTAATTTAATTTAAATAATAATTTAATTTAATTTAAATAGCAGTATAATCCGCTTTTGCAGTACTTGTCGAAACACAATTATATTCTATGTTTACTATTATCTCGATACTATTATCTCTATACGATTATCTCATGAAGGAGCGTTATTTATTTCAGTACTACAATTTGTCCATCATACTTAAAAAAAAAAATAATGAAAGGTGGGATTTATTTATTTATTAGATGCATAATTAAGTTTCCGCTGTTAATTATCAATATTCTTTTATTAATACAAAAGAAACAATAAAATGATTTTAATCAAAACATTTGCCGTTTTCATTTATTATCTTTTACCATCTCTCAGGCAGCATACGAATATCGTGGTGAAAGAATTTCTCATTTGATGCAATGAAGTCGTCAATTCATTACTTAATATCTACTTTATTTTGTAAGTATGTCTTGGAGATGGTGTGCTGCATCAACCGGAATAAGTGATAATTAAATGGCTGGAGAATAATGTTTGGAGAGTATGCTGGGTGGGAAAGGATTTCCCTTTGATATATGATATAATATTTATTTGATTTTATGAGCAACAGACCTCGCATTGTTGTGCAAAATGATCTCGTTCTAAGGCAACCGTTTCTCCTCAGTTGCTTGACTCAAAACGTTCAAAAAATTGATTCAAAAATCGTTTGAGAATTTCTTTCACCAACTTTAAACTAAAATAAGTTAAACGTTAAAAGTTAACTATGAGTTGTGAAACTGAACCTACATGAGTCCCATGTAACCGATTAACTTAATCGAGGTTGGTGAAAGAGACCCTGAGTCAAGTAATTTAAAAGAAGCGACCGGCAGTGGCTTCAAAATGACATAAAGTCAATTTGCTCTACGATAATGCAAGGCCTCATGTTGCTCATAAAATGAAACAAGCTGTATAATCTTGAATGGGAAATCTTTCTCCAGCCAACATACTCTCCAGATCGCACTGTTTGATTATTACTCTAATCCGATCGATGCAGCATCTCTGAAATGTACTTTCAAAATGAAGCAGATATTTAAAAAATGACACTAAAGTCGACAACTTTTCATTGTGTCAAGAGACATTCTTTCACCACGGCATTCGTATGCTACTTGAAAGATGACAAAAGGTGGTAGACACAAACAGAAAATATTTTGATTGAAACAACTGTATTGTTTTAATTGTTTCTTTTGCGTTAATAAAAGAGAATTTTGATATTTAACGGGGACTTAATTATACATCTAATATTTATTTATTTTTTATTTATTTACTTTTTATTTATTAAGCTTACATAATACATTAATTACAACATTAAATTTTATAGAGAAAAATTTTCGAATTTATTATTTCCAAAAATATTTGGGATTATATTTTGTTATACTTTTTGCTAATTTATAATAAATTGATTGTTTTTACTTAGTTATTTCTATTCTTCTACTAATTTTAGAATGTATTGCAGGTATTTTTTATAGGTAATTCTAAGAGTGAAAGGAGTTTTTTATAGGTAATTCTAAGAGTAAAAGGAGTATTAGGAAGTGATCGATGCGAGAAAAAATTATTTTTGTTTTTTACATCAAAATAATCAGTTTAAAGACATCAAGGTGAAAATATAACAATAATGGATATATTATTTAGAAAGTTTGAACTATTATGTACAAATATTTGAATTAATAATTTGTAAGTTATCGTAGTTATTTTATTTCTTTTATGATAAGAAGAACTTGATCATTATTTTATATATTTATACTAATTATATTATTTTTTAGAGCCAAATTATTCAAATAATGTCATTTGTTGTTTTTTTGAGAAAGAAACCAAATAACATTTATCATAACAATTTGACATCAAAATAATGTTTATATCAGATGGATAATAATAAAGAAACTTGCGAAAATGGCGAATGTATAAAAAATACATTCCGCTTTTACGCTCACACGCCATAAGCATCAATTCATCCTTGTTGTCTATCAAATATTAAACAAGAACAAATGATGTTTACAAGCGCTATAAGCAATACGGAACGTATTCAAAATAGATTATTTTTACTGATTATTAACATAATCAATTAGAAGATTTTAGGATAAAGAGGTATAATAGAAATGGACACGTTAATTAAAATTAGAAACATTTTTTGACATAAATTAATGTAAAAAAATACCAGACATTTATAAATTAAAGTCACACTGACTCCATACCGTCTCTTTGAAATCGTGTAGCAAAATCCCACTTCGTGCACAAAATTTGCATTACACTATAGCCACGGAAACACATTACACTGAATAAATTCGCCTATCATCAACCAAGGAAACACGCTACACTGTCCGAGTGTTGCACTGGTGGGCGATCAAGAGAAAACGCTATTGTTAGTGATGCCGATTCTTAAAAAAAAAGATCAATTTTCGGAATCGATTCATTCTTTTGAGTCCGATTTTTAATAATTGATTAATTGAATAAAAAATTAATTCAGAATACTCAATTCTTCCGATTCTTTATCCAGTTAGTTAAAAAAAAAAAAAAAAAATTAGGTTCCTTTTTCAAATTTTTTTTTAATATCTTACAAATAAGGTTAAAATGGATTAATTATCAAAATAATAATTTATATAATATAAACTAGATTTTTTATAATTATTATTACATTATACTCTTTGATTGTGTACGGTACATTAATTCGCTGGATCATAGTAATTACTCTTATCGACGTTTATTTTTTTACTCAAATATTATCAACTTTACAGAAAAATTATAAAAGACAAAAATTATTTATTTTCTTTTCATAGAACTCTAAAAATTTTTTCAGAATTTTTCTGAAATCAGCTTTTTATTATTGTGTTTTCTTATTTTCGATAAATTGGACCGTTATTGACTCAGTGAATTGTTAATGCACTACACTGTATGTACATATTCAACACATCAACTTACATATATTTTTAGTGGACTTAAATATAAAGTAGAGAGCCTCTCTCTCTCTCCTCTCCTCTCTCACAAGGAGAGAATAGTAAATTGCATCATGTGAATGCCCACGTCCAATCAGGACGGGGGTCACGTGACTAGTTTTCTCCAATTTCTTCCATGCCTATGGAGCTTTAATGCCCATATCCAATCAGAGGAAACGGGTAATGCAATTTCCTACTCTCTCCTTGTGAGATTCTCTAGTATAAAGCTCATGGCATTTACAAAAACATAAGAGCAGTAATCACATCAGCGATCTAATCACAATAGAGAACATAAACTGTATGATTGGCCGATTTGCTTACTGTTACATCTTATTGCAATTGCAGTTGGTGCGGAATGCTTGTGATTGATTCTGCTATCGTTAGCATTCCGCTATTCCGCTAAATAGAGTAAAGTAAACAAGAATGGATTGAAATAATTGAAATGGATTCAGATTTTCAGAAATATTGATTCACGAATATTAAAATTAATGCTTTTCAATTCTAAATGCATTTTTATTCATTTATAGGAATTGCATGAAGCATCTCTATGCCTTTCAATCTAAAAATAATATTAGTTTTTTCTGTTCATTGTGAATTCATATAATATTATTTAATTCAAAATTTTGAATAGGAAATGCAGTTTTTCAATCCAATTGCACCCAAT